CCCCCCCCCCGCCCCCCTCCCGCCTCTTGCCGGAACTACTCTGGAAGGCGGATTTTCTGCTGCAGAGGGAGGCAGCGAAGACTCTCGACCACGTCATCGGCGCCAACGGCCGCCTCGAGGCGAGGGTGGTAGGATCCACCGCCCCGACGACGAAGGGGGTCACGCTGATAGAAACCAGGACGAGGAACCGCCGCGGAGCTCCCGCCAACGGGAGGGACGGCAGCGTCACCGCACCACTACCGCCGCTGCGACAAGATGAGCAGCATCAAGAGCGGCATCGTCACTCCGGGCAACGGACGCCGCCGCGACCAACGCCACCCCGCACCACCCCCTCCCGTCACAGCAACACCACTCCGTCGAGGTGGGGGCAGACGACGGGGACGGGTTCGGATGCCCCCCGCCCCTTTGAACCTGCGTCGCCCCCTGTAGGGGAAGGCGGCGGCAGCGGTGCAGTGGTAGCCGCCGCGGCTGACGCCGCGGCTGAGGCGGTCCGATTTTTTCACCAGATTTCCTCGCCTATCCGGCTTTCGGCCGGCGGTGGGTGGGGCGAGATCGATAGTCGCGAGGGAAGAGGAAGAGGGGGTGGGGGTGCCGGGATGATGGGGGAAAGGGTACCGGGAGGGGACAGAGAGAGGTTGGGGGTGAGCAAGATACGGCTTTCGGGCCAGCAGCAGCAGCAGGGTGGTGGCACTCGAGGCGGCGCGGGAAACGGGGACGAACACTCGCCGCGGGGGCTGCAGGAGCACCGCGTTCACAGGGCGGACGTGTGGAAGTGGGAGTACTGCAAAGGGGTGGCGGTTTACGCCGTTGAGGTTGAGGTGCTGGGGCAGAGCTTCGCGAGGAACGTGTATCGAAGGTGATGATTTCTTGTTCCTGTAGGGTGTACGGCGTAGGGCCTATCTAGGGAGTGGGGAGCTTCTTGGTGACGGTAGAGGATTGGGGGGGGGGACTCATCAAATAAACGCTGCCGTAGTCAGTACCATCGAAGACCTAGGAGGAGAGTTGGGTGGTTGGTAGCTCTATCCACATGTGAAACATCAGCAGTAGTGCGACCGGCTTGCAAAACTAGTTGTCATGAAGCGCAGAAACAACGAAATCACCGCCAATAACAACAGCAGCAGCAGCAGCAGCAGCAGCAGCAGCAGCAGCAGCAGCAGCAGCAGCAGCAACATCACGACATCTACAAGAATGTCAACAACCGCAACAACGCAGGTATTCCCACTTCCTCCAGCTCTGGGAGGACATTTGCGAGACCCACCACGGCGTCAGAGACTTCACGTTCCCTCCGAAGGGGGCAGTTTCCAGCGCTAGGGGCGCCTTTTCCGAGGTGCTGGGCGAGAAGCGGCCGGAGGATCAACGCCGGGAAAAGTTTTGCGAGCTTCTTGAAGTCCTGGTGAGTTTGGAGGAGATTGTTGACGTCTTGCGAGCTTCTGTTTGGGCATTGGGAGACGTTTATTCTGTGAGAAGGGCCGCTTGGAGGCGCAACAGACGCAGCGGCAGGGTGTTTGATGGAAAAGAGCCCTCCGAACGAGGACGACGAATCGAAATCTCAGGTTGATTCCATGAACAGAGATAGATACTGTAGCATCGGCTTGCCCTGCAAGGTGTCGCGACCCATGCATTGTGAACGTCTTGCCACCCTCGGTGAAGGAACCAGTGATCAACTTGTATGGTTGGGTCTCTATGACGTAGACCTGGCCGCCTGTCGCTGCGTGTGGTCAAGGAAAAAACACCAGTGCTTCGCAGTACTCTAGGGTGGGGGTTGACGACTGCCCACCAAAAAACAAGCCACTACCGGCGTAGCAGCCGAAATCAATCCGTCAGACCAGTCCACGCTGACTAGTCTTAAGCCTAAGGTCATCACACCCCCCACGCGCGTCATGCAGATGAAACTCGAGCCCCGCCCCCCGGCCTTGCGCCACTTCTTGGCCCCTTGGCCGACTGAGAGCACTGCCAGCAGCAGCACCGCGGCTACGGGGCTTGTCGGGGGCCGTCGGAACCAAGAAGGACAACACCAGCAAGAAAACGCTCGCGAGGAAGACGGGGCATCGTGGGCCGGCACACGCACGACAAGGAACGGCGGCGGCGGTGGCGGCGGCGGCGGTGGCGGCGGCGGCGGGTCCGAGAGCGCTTCATTTGGCGGCATCTGGCTCACCGGCGGGGGTAGCGACGCCCGGAGAAGGGACCAGCGGGAGCAGCTTCGTCTCCGGGGGGTCGCGGCGGAAGGACTGCCAGTCACGCCCGACCGGCCACCGCACAATGACAGGACCAGGGGCAGCACCGCTACTACCAGGCAGGCGGGAGTGGAGGCGGCGACGGCTGAGGAGCACTCGGCCGTTCCCCTCCCCCGGGACCTCCGGCTGTGGGTTTTCCTCACCTTAGTTGGCGTGCTGGAGGCCTGCGCCGCTGTCCGCGCTCTCGGGGTGACGGCGCTGTCCCTGCCGGTGACCCTTGTCCTGACGGCGATCGCCCCCGCGGTAGCAGCCGTGGCCTTTTCCGTGTCCTCTCGCTCCCGCTCGTGCCCTTCGCGGCAAGGGCAGCAGGAGCGACGGAAGCTTAGTCGTCCGCCTCAGCTCGACGCCGACTCCGGCGGCGTTCGTGGCCGAGCGACCGCCCTGTCATTCGGGCGGCGACCGTGGCAACCACATTTACTCGGCGGTGTTGCTGCTGCCGCTGCTGCTGCTGTTGGATTGGGCGGCCTACATGGTGGCGGTGGCGGTGGCGGTGGCGGTGGCGGTGGTGGTGGTGCTGCTGCTACTGTTGGATTGGGCGGCCTACATGGTGGCGGTGGCGGTGGCGGTGGCGGTGGCGGTGGTGGTGGTGCTGCTGCTACTGTTGGATTGGGCGGCCTACATGGTGGCGGTGGCGGTGGCGGTGGCGGTGGCGGTGGTGGTGGTGCTGCTGCTACTGTTGGATTGGGCGGCCTACATGGTGGCGGTGGCGGTGGCGGTGGCGGTGGCGGTGGTGCTGCTGCTACTGCTGCTGTTGGATTGGGCGGCCGCGGAGGCACCCCTCGGAGAAGCGGCGTGGTCACCTCGAGCAGCAGCCCGACTCGAGGTCGCGCGCCAAGGGGGGTGAGACGAAAATCGCCCGCAAGGCCGCCGATTGGCCACCGGGGGGCGGGGGGTGTCAACGCCTTGGGCTTAGGGTTAGGTGCCTCCTCATTTCCCGCGACGGCAGTCGGCGGGGTGCGGGCAGTAGCGGCGGGGGTTCCGGGCGGCATCGCACAGGAGCTGCAGATGGAGTAGATATCGCTCTCCCGTCTGCAAATATTTAGTCTAGCCATGTCTTCGTACTGGTCACAGTTGTAGTCGCCCTACCGAAATTGTCATCATCATGGAATGGAAGAACGTCAGCACTCCTCGTGTTTTGTGGTGCCCAGTATCTTCTATATGCTGGGATGCTGCCTGCATTACGAAAGGGGGCGGACAGGTCCCGCGAAAACAACGGTGGCGAGAACTGCTGCCTCGGTATATACGGGGGTTGCCTTGGATGGGGGTATCGTGGGTGCCTTTTTATCTTGGCCGCGCGAAGCAACCCTGTCCGCAAAGAAAGCTAAAGCTCCATCTCCTTCGATAGTCAGACAAGAGAATGTGGCGGAATACCAGCTCCGGATGTAGATGATGACGCATACAAGCCTTGCCTGATATCCGTACTACTACAGTAGTGCTGGCGCTGGAAGTTTTGATTGGATGGAAGAAGACTGCGTTCGTGCCAGAGTGCTAAACTACTTGTTGACCTGTGCCCCAAGCGACGTGAACGCTGGGAGCGAGAGAGGTAGATAGGTCTACGTACAACACCGGGAGCGAGAGAGGTAGATGTATGTCCGTGCACACACCACACATGCAAGGCAACCGAATCATTGTGTAGAGAAAAACGGTGTACCCCGTATGTATGGGTTGGAACTCCTTGTTCATACCTTCCTCTGATAGATGGGTTGTTTGTCACCAGAGTCTAATCAAGGAGAAGAAGGCGGTTGGTTCTCTGTTGTGTGCCTGTTTGCGGTTCGATCCTGACAAATTCATTCATTGTGAACAAGTGTAACACCTTCGCGAAAGCAATCGGCCCTAGGTTGCAAGTACTCAATGAAACGAAGGCGAGAGATTTGTGTTCATTCTCCACGTTTCACGACGACCGATTGATCTCGTCCGGTGTGTGAAAAACATGTCCACCGAAAGGTGTCGTTTGGCGCCCAGAACGGTCTGCACCGGACGAAACACGCACACTGCAGCATCTCTCTCTAATCCGGAGAGTAGCGTAGACTCCCCCATGACGCTCGTGGCCTAAAGAAGGATTTTGTGTTGTGCGCACTGAGGCTTACGTCTTTTCATTGGTCAGGCGGTTAGCGCGGTCGGTCGATGCTATCAAGACACACATACTATTACGATTCCAATTCGCAATTTGGAGAGTCAGACTGTACGAGGTTGCCCGGCCGACCGGCCTTCGGAGCTTTTTCTCATTGTTTTGTCACTTGAAATCAGAGCTCACAGCATTTCTGCCGGGTAGGAGCTGCTGTTGCTCCAATCCCCTGTCAAATGATACAGAATAAGGGTTCCCCCCTATCCACCCTTCCTGCGGTGCTTGCAAAAATCAACGAAGCCGACAAGGGGCTGGGTATTTAAGGGGTGACGCCGAAATAAAATTTCGAAACGTGAAGGGGGGGTGTCGTTGGGTGTTAACCGAGAAATACTTTGGCAATAATAGTCTCTACGCTACGAGATAAACCTGGCTCACTCAGCGTGGTGGCCCTGTCGCTGGATCTTTCCATCAACAACACAAAACACAAAACACACCTATAAATTCCCCCCTTTCCTGGCACACGCGTGACCAACACGCACCGCAAGACACCGCGCTTTCCCCAACGCCTAGCCTTGTCAAGCCTACCTAAATAACTGTGGGATTCCCTGGACTTCTGGGCCTCCAACTAGCTGGCCGACAGGATCACAAGGACAACCCGGCCGCCCCTCCCTCGTCCAGATGGGCTTTCGGGGGTGTACATGTACGTATTTCAGGGGTCTCACTGTTGTCGAGCTTTTTTTTCGCAAGCTGACCAAATCTAAACACGGTCGTCATTCCAGTGTAACTGGCCACGCAACTATAGGTGAGTAGTGTCTGGAGGGAAAGGACACGCACCGCCGGAGGCGTTGTTGATGTTAGAAACAACACATTGGACAGCAATTATTCCTTCCCACAGTCTTGCTCGTCACAAGGGGTAACCAGGCAGAGAGGAAGGCCTTGTTTCCTCAACCCCAACCCTGCCAGCACACACAGGCAGTACCCCCTTAGCACCATCACCATCATGCCTGCACCAAACCTTCTCATAGAACACGAAACCTCTCCAAACTACATATCATGCACTAGTATTTTTCTTGCCCTGACAACACGAGCAGCCCTTCTTGCCGTTAGAACTCCCACCCTGCCCGCTGCTCTTGCTCTCCTCCACCCCACCGTCGCTACAGCCCGCGCTAGCCTCTACTGCCGGTTCCGCCGCGGGCGCCGCCTTCCCACTGCCCTTTCCGGAGGCGTTCTGTTGGGAGGGGGGCGCTGCCGCCGCTGCCGCCGCTGCCGCCGCCGCCGCCTTTGCTTCTGACAGAAGTGAGGTCGGTTGGCTCGGGTTGCCCTGGGCGGCTTTGACAAGCTTGGTTGTCAAGGCCCGGATGTTCTGCGTGCTCTTGGCGACTAGCGGGTGCTGGTCTCCGTGCACGGCCTTAAACCTGACGGACGACAAAGTCGCAGGCAACGGCAACGAGGAAGTTCGGAACGGATATATGTATATATCGATGAATAACATGCATGCTTACCTTGCTCAGTTGAAACAACATGAGAACACTGAACACTTGAGCACTTGTCTCACCACGATATCACAACGAGACTCCTGACAAGCGGGTCACACCTTCGACGCCCCCAGGCGGTCGCCCAGAGATGAATGGCGTTCATAACGCTTGATCGGATTTTGAGGTTGGAATCGCATAAAAAAAAAGAACGACGTGCATGACAACACAGAAAAACAAGTGAAATGCACAAGCAATGCGATTGGTCCTCATGGAGCCGGAGGATGACGCCAGGGAAATGTGATGTGACTTTCTTCACCATCTTCCTGCTTGAAACACCCAATAAACGCGGCTACACAGCCACTGGCTCTTACACGTTATGTCGTGTTAGAGGTTGTGACTTCCCCGGCGTCACCCTCCGGTTCCACGTGGACCCTTTGCATTGCCTGATCCGTGAATCGATCTACGCATCTTCCCTCGGCCATCGGGGGGCTGGTTTGGTGTCGCGGATATGACCCCGTTCCAGGTGCCCCTCGCTCTACCCGGGTATCGCCTCAGTCGGAGGGCTTGTCCTCTTGTCGCTCTGTGACGCGGGACGCTCTGCTGCTACCTCTTCTTCACAACTCTCACTTCCCTCCTCCCCTTGACTTGAAATGTGCTTTTCGATCGCCTGACATGACGTTGCTTCTCCGAGAGCTCATACAGGTACATTGTGGTCGCTCTCGCCGAACCCCTTTACAGCTAGTCTCGTCTCGGAATTCCGTATGATAAATCATGTATCCCGTATGATATCACGCTATTAATAGCGCTGATGGAGTAGAGTAATGGATAAGGCCTATATCATTCAAAAGGTTCACCACTCTCGGCTGGTAGCTCCGTGGTGGTACCAGGACAAATAAATACACATAAAAGCCTACTCCCACAGTTGAGCGGGGTGTGTTGAGTCTTGCAGTGAGTGGAGGGAAATTGGCTGGGTACTGGGCATATTTCGAGTCTATCTAAGCTCATCACTGAAATTTTACTAGTGATGCCACAGGTGCTAATCACAAACTATAGGTACGAATAGCACAATATTTGCAGTATGGTAAGGATCTTCGGGGACGGTACAGAGCTATTAATAGCTAACATCCAAGGATACAGCAGTAGCAATGAAATGCTGCATGCGCCATAGGGAGGTAGCAGTTTTTACACGATGGCGTGCAAAGACCACGTGTGATGATCGGCCGTCTCATGAGGCGTCATGACGAGAGAACAACGTTTTCTCAGCGGATTTTGGTGTGTTTGGTGTGGGAGAGGAACGACGCAGTTCGACCACGTATGCAACACAGTGTCCCTTTCGGCCTGCCCCAATATAAAAAACGGTTCCGGCCTCTGCTCAGCACATATTAACATCCAAGACTACTTGTCCAACTGACTCGAACGCCTTCCCACGGTGACAACACTCGAGACGTACCCAAACAAGGGCAATCTCCAAAAGTGAAAAAAACATGCGGTACGCTAAACCAACACCAAAGTTATTTTGTTCAACTTACCCTGCGTGGGACAGTCGCTCGTGCTTGAGCGCGTCGGGGTATCCCCCCATGGCTTCGAGGGTCTCCGCGACGCTGTGGTGCACCCGGGGGTTGATCATGTGGTCCCCTGGCTGCCTCTCCAACGCCTCCTGGTAACACCTGTCGAATGTTGGGTATTGAAAACATACTGTCACCTCCTTTCAAAAACAGGACCATGGTACAGCTGATCAACGAGGGGGGTAGGGAGTCACCTCACACAATACCAGCATAAAAAATCCATCACACCATGAACTCGTTGTTCTAGCGATCCTATGCTCCCATAGATGGATAAACATGAAATGTACCGTTTTCTTCAATTTCCGCAAAAAAGCAAATCCAGCTCATCATCCAGATCAACACATCAGACTGACGCGGACAACGTCAGTTTACCTGAGAGCCATGATGGCGCTGCCCAGGTCCTGGTAGGCCCTCCCCATGCGGTGGTAGGCGTTGGACAGCTCCGGGTGGTTGGGGCCCGCCGTGAGCTCTACCAGGTAGCAGAACGCGCGCATGTGCGCCAAGGCCCTTCCAGATTGGCGGAACAAAAAATAAAAAAACGTCATCTGTTTGCACCATGCGTGAAAGGAACTTTATTGTGGACCACAGCTTTCCGTTTGTAACAGTGCAGTATACTAATATTGAACTCGGTTCAACTTCGTACTCGACTCGACTCGGGAGGAAAAAATAACAGCAACCAAAACCACAAGACAGCAGGATGATCGAGTGTATGCTCCAACAAGATTCTTGAATACATGTATCTTCTCAAACGGCAACGCCAGTCTGTGGGGTGAAATATACGGATCACAAAAGTACCCTAGATTTATCCCATCCAGATACATGTAGGCACCAGCGATAGTTTCAGCTCGCTTACAGAACTCGAAAATTCTGTGAGTTCTGTGACGGCTCACCACAATACCCTATAGTTCTGTGAGTTCTGTGACAGATCCAGTACCCTACCGAACTTTTCTGTGAGTTCTGTGACAGACCCAGTACCCTACCGAACGTACCCTCTGGTTCTGTACACCCGGGTCAACAATACCCGCGGTACGGGTAAACATTTGTGGAACTACCCTCCACAAGTGTGATTACCCCGGTGGGCTGACGTCACCTCTACGAACCAAACTTGAAGCGTACCCTCTACCCTCACGAACTCACACACAGACCGGCGGACCCTGCAGATCTGTCACACATGCCACGCATCCCACAAACAACGCACGGTGTCGGTTTGAGAGGTAACATGAGCGCTGTGGACCCCATNACCCTCTGGTTCTGTACACCCGGGTCAACAATACCCGCGGTACGGGTAAAGATTTGTGGAAGTACCCTCCACAAGTGTGATTCCCCGGTGGGCTGACGTCACCTCTACGAACCAAACTTGAAGCGTACCCTCTACCCTCACGAACTCACACACAGACCGGCGGACCCTGCAGATCTGTCACACATGCCACACATCCCACAAACAACGCACGGTATCGGTTTGAGAGGTAACATGAGCGCTGTGGACCCCAGCAGTTCATCTACGCCAGAAGCCGCGGGCGAGACTCAGGCGAGCTCGCACGCGGCGGAGGCAGGTGTAGGCGAAGGTAGCGCTGGCGCGGGGCAGGGAGATTCACCCGAGGTAGAGGTTGTTGCGGGCGATAGCGCGGGGGGCGTACCCGTCATCCTACCGGCGCCCGTCTACAACAAGAAGGGGGAGGTGGTGGAGGTAGACCGGGGTGTTGTCGACGCGGTGGATAGATTCCGCGCGCCCGCTGACTTCGTGAGAAAGGGCTCCCGCGACAAGTCCTTCATGTACTCGCTGGGGGTGTATGTGGAGAACACGGACCCTGGACGCAAAAATCATAAGTTCAATTTATCTCGAATCTTGGTCAAGGCACAAAAGTGTGCAAGTACAAATTAAAATTCACGCGGGTACCGCTGGTTCAGCGCTCACTTTTTTATGAGACAGAAAGAGGTACTCGGTAGAGAGACCGGGATGGTTTTGTAAAGTGAAGACAACAACAACAACAACAACAACAACAACAACAACCGCGGGTAGGTACCATCTTCGACTCCCCCACAAACGAGTTCTGTGAGTTCTGTGACAGACCCAGTACCCTACCGAACTTTCTGTGACAGCTCGCTTACAGAACTCGAAAGTTCTGTAAGTTCTGTGATGGCGCACCACAATACCCTTTAGTTCTGTGAGTTCTGTGACAGACCCAGTACCCTACCGAACTTTCTGTGACAGCTCGCTTACAGAACTCGAAAGTTCTGTAAGTTCTGTGATGGCGCACCACAATACCCTTTAGTTCTGTGAGTTCTGTGACAGACCCAGTACCCTACCGAACTTTCTGTGACAGCTCGCTTACAGAACTCGAAAGTTCTGTAAGTTCTGTGATGGCGCACCACAATACCCTTTAGTTCTGTGAGTTCTGTGACAGGACCAGCACCCTACCGAACTTTTCTGTGAGTTCTGTGACAGAACCAGTACCCTACCGAACTTTTCTGTGACAGCTCGCTTACAGAACTCGAAAGCTCTGTGAGTTCTGTGACAGATCCAGTACCCTACCGAAATTTTCTATGAGTTCTGTGACAGACCCATTACCCTACCGAACGTACCCTTACTCTACAGAACCTACATGTGATAGTTTCGATTTGCTCTTGTTTCTGATGCCTGTATCATTTGCACTTTACAGTATCGTACGCAGCCAAAGCGGAAGCCTGTTGGATGGCNGCTCCTTGACTTCCGCTACGTGAAGCAGCATCAGTTGCATGTTGCTGACATCGACCTCCTTTGTCGCTTCCCCTTCGTTACGGAAAATGATGTCGCGAGACTAAAAGATCAGATGGACGATTACAATATCGCCGCCTCTGGAGTTGATACCGGCTACGACTTGTGGTCATTCTGGCATGACAACAGGCACAAGAGTAGCCTTTGTCACTGGTATGGAGTTGCGAAGGACATCGTTTTGCTCCAACCGTCCTCTGCCTTCATGGAACGTGTCTTTTCCATCCTGCGTGCTTGTATGGATGCTAGGCAGGAGAAGAGCTTTAGTGACCGCGTGGCAGCGTCCGCTCTTCTTAAGTACAACAGAGGCCGGGGAAAATAGGAATAGGGCGTGCTAAGAGCTGGGTGTAACCTGTAACCACGGTGTCTGGTTAGGTCGTTAGGTCTGGTGTCTGGCGCTGTCTGTTCGTGTGGTGTCGCTGTACGCTTGTTTTTCTGTTTGTTTTTCTGCGATATCACGTATCACGGATCACGGATCACGGTGAAGAAATCAGAATAACACAGAGCACAGAATCGACAACCAGCAAGACCACGTGTTTCAATGTGTCGGGAAAGACAGGGGCACGTGCGTACCTCGCGCAGTGACCCTCAACGTCATGTAAAAGCAACACCGTCGGCAGAAAGCGCGTGCATAAGTACATACATAAAACTGGAAAACAAGCATAACTGCGTGCATAATTCGCTGCTGTAAGCACATGCTCAGCCAGAAAAATCCGCATTAAAAAAAAAAAAAATCCGCATATCAGGTATAAGCCTAGATGGCGAACAGAGGCCGGTACTGGTGCGCCACCTTTGATGAACGGCCCTCACGAAAGCGCCACTGCTACAAAAGCTCGTTGTTAGTGAACTTAATCGACTTCGTAAGTCGCGAGGGAAGGGATTGCTGACAACTCGCGATAAAAATATCTCAGGCAGGAACCGCAGGAGGGGGCCCAACCCCCCCCCTCCTATGTGACTCCGGTCGGGTCGTCTAGCTTGTAGAAGTGGAGGATAAGGGCCAGAGGGGCAGACGACAGAGTCCAATGATGGGAGAAAAACAAAAACAAAAAAAAAAATAACCCTGACGCCACACATGCGCCTGCTAATAAACGTATGAAGACGTTTTCTGGAGAAAAAAACTGATCAAGGTGAGATTCGAACTCACGCTCTTTCGAACTAGTGCCTTAAACTAGCGCCTTAGACCGCTCGGCCACTTGACCAGCCATGCTGTTACCGCACGTATTACGATTCGCACAAGTTGTCCCTATATTCAAAAACAAAAACGCTCCAGCACGTACCGTCGAAGGGTCGACTGTGCTCTTGTACTACCTACAACGTGTCAGTGACGTAGATTTGATCCAAAGGTAATTCTGTAGATCTGGCTACAGCACAAACGCACAAACGCAGCGAAACATAGAAATACTTCGAAGTGCATGTGTCTAGTGCTGTCGGTTCCGGGTTTCAAATTTCAGTTTTGGGGATGCCATGCAGCACAAAGGTGTATTTTGTAGTAAATCCGGGGAAAAAAACGAGGAAACCATCACCCTTTCAGGTACAACAACAGAGGTGAAACTCACTTGTCATAGATGCCTGCCGTCATGTAGTACTGTCCTAGCTGTTCGTGGCACTTCACCACCTGAAAACCAAAAGACAAAAGGAGGGAGGTACACAGTACACGTGACACACGTGGGAAGAAAGGGGCAGAAAAATCCGACGAGAAGATTAACCGGCTCAGCCCTCCAACGACGCGTGGGCATAAGGTTTGGAGAATCAGAACGAACGAATTGACACGGAAACGCATTGAAAAACGATGAGGTCCTGGTGTGTGTCCTATGGAGAGAAGGTTGGTCGCTGTCGCCACTAGTAACAACAAAGCAAGTGCTTACGAGCAATCCTTGACTTTTGAGTTGGCAAACAGCGAGAGCGCTTTTATCGTGTGTTCCAGCCCAGGAACAGGATCATCATCAAGGCCCTACCCATCAAAAGCGAATAGAATGCAGAAGCAGCAGCAGTAGGCAGCACTACTAACTGCTCCCGTGCCCAGTCCCTCAACATCAAGGCCCTACAATATGCATAAAATGCCACGAAGGAATCAGCAGCAGCAGCGGCAGCGGCAGCAGTCACCACTGTCGAGTCTGGTCGCTTAACATCGAGGTCCTTTGAACAATAACAAGGAAGCAGCAGCAGCAGCAGCAGCAGCAGCAGCAGCACTCACCGCCGCCGAGTCTAGCCCCTCGAGCTGCTCATAGAAGGCGAGGGCCTTGAGCTGCAGGGCCACCGCTGTGTCAGGGTCCCCCCCGAGGTACATGACCCTAGCCTGGAGATTCAAAGCTGCCGGATACTTGCTGTGCATCCCGTCGCAAGCCTTCCCGACACAATAGAAAAGACAACAACAAGTAGCAGGTAAACAACGGAAAACAACAACGAGGGGAGAACAAAAGTCAACACGAAACTTTCGACCCAAAAAGTAAAGTTTTTTGGAATCACGATTTCCAGAAAGATAAGAGCCGAAAAAGCAAAACAGGCACTCACATGCATACCAAAAAGAGCCGAAGAAATACCCGGCAAAAAAGGTGTCTCTCCGTGGAACATCAGATGCTAGTACTTGGTACGATAGTGGAATAGCAACAACGTTCAGTGACGTTCGTGCACGACGATTGCGGTAACATTGCTCACGGTGTGTCCCCCATGTTGGAAATTCAACAAACAATTTGGCAGTTGACCTGGAACAAAAGGCACTGAGCAGACACAGTTTCTCGAGGCGACGACGACGGCACCACCGACAGCAAGTCAAATCACCTATCACCTATCACCTATCACCCATCACCTATCATCACCTGGAGGAGGAGGGTGGCGGCGTGGTGCGCAAAGTCGTGGGCCATTTGCAGCCCGGAGCCCGACGTGAGGTGCAGCTGCGCCATTTCCAGAGCCTCGGCGGCATCAGGAGCTGGGGATGCCGGTACGCAAGACTGACAAAAACAAAAGGTGGATGTGTGTGTGTGTGTGTGTGTGTGTGTGTGTGTGTGTGTGTGTGTGGGGGGGGGGTCGCTAAGGATCAATCCTTGAGCTAGAGCAGACTACGCCAGTCGGTAAAGAGGAGCAACACAATATGTGCCTGACAATGAAAAATGCCTCCGTGCGGGTTTGCGTGTGTAGAAGAGGGAGTCGTTCCAAGTGCAAAAGGCGTGTTTCGTGCATGCGTACACCCTCAGGTTCATTAAAATTGCATTGGTGAGCTTTATCATACTCCTTGCTCGACTAGCAACCCGTGGTAACGCACACCAACATTGAAGCAACCCGTACCGTGTACCAGGTATACTTCATGTTATACTGTCAATATATCTTGAACTTCAACAGGTTTCATACCGTGTACCAGGTATACTACATGTTATACTTAACTATATCTTGAACTGCAACAGGTTTCAACTCCGACTCCAAGAGCGAAGACAAGTACGCCCACATACCATGACGACTCCCAAAGCGCGTCATGGCGTCCTTCAAGCAATTTTCTGTTCCTTACAGAGACAATACCAATTTTTCTCTAGGTGTAAAAAGATGCCACGGAATAAACCTGCCAGGATTCCAGTCAGTTGCCAATCACATGTCAGTGGTTTTACAGTTCTAATGGATACATATCATACAGCTCGCGCAAATGGAGGCGTTTTGGTTCTTCAGTATACAGCAGTACCTTCACCACCGGGGAGACTCCGGCAATGTCTTCCAGCGCGAACGGCTCCTTGGTCTCAAGCCTGTAGGTCTTGCTAAGCACCCTTACACCCAGCCGCTGGCTCACCCTCCGAAGCAGCGGAAGCTTGTGACGCCGCTCAGCATTTTCCTGCTTGGTGTGGGGGTTTGAGTTCACAAGCTTCAGTGATAGCGTTTTCAAAGCACACACACTCAGCGAAAAATTGGCGCGAGTACTTGAGATCATACAAGTGATGCACATATCAACTGAATCTACGAAGTCTACAACACGTTCGAGGGGAGGATGAGCCAGTCGTTTCCCCTCTCATGCTACTGCACGTTTCATGAGTCCGAGCACAGAGACACACAGAAAAAGAGATACGAAAACGAGAGAGACAAGGGAGAGACGCAGGGAAGTGGCGACATCCGACACTCCCCTCCTTCCTCCTATCGCTGCAAAAGCTTGCCCCCCGCCCGATGACCTCACCGCATTCGACGGCGCCCCCCAGATGACCAACCGGTGGCGGAACCTGAAGAACACTTCGGCGCAAACGGATTGCCACAGACCGTCGGGGGTGAGAGCGACGAGGCTGAAGTCATCCTCCGGGATCCAGGAGCTGTCGGCGGGGATGCCTCCGGTAGGGGAAGACAGCGGGGAGGATGACGGAGAGGTGTAGGTGCCGTTGACGGTGGCACCGCTGTTTCTCTTGCCGTCTGCGGCTGTGGTCGTTGTTGTCGGCTGGGCAGCAGTGGAAACAGCGCGCGGGGGGGGAAGGGGTAAACTAGAATGCTTTTTTCCTGCCAACTGCGTACTTCATTAGACAACAAAGAGATATCAAGAGGTATCAAGAGATATCAAGAGATATCGAGGAAGATCAGCAACACCAAACTAGACCGAGGTGAGTCTTGCACCACAAAAACGGGCCAAAGCAAAGGCGACCGGCGGCGAAACTCAAGCATACCCACCTGTCGTGCACATGGACAGAAGGCAGGCAACACCAACAGCGGAATGGGTAAAGCTCGTTCTTTTCCACTCCTAGCCACAGTTCAGCAATCGACTTTCCAAGCACTTGCGTGAAAGGGAAAGCAAACCAATACTTACAACGCAGCTTCTCCCCGACGTCCGTCTGAAAAAGAGAGCGATCTCTCCTGTCTCCCCCCCCCTGTGTTAGCCGGGATGCCCAATCAACCCATGGCATATCGGGTTACGCACAGCAAACGCAACGACAACGACCAGCTTCTGGCTCATCATTGAAAAACGTACGTAGCCTGGGCAGGCGAAACCCAGGAAGCATATCGCTCCTTCGTCCCGGCATTGTAGGGATGCGAGATGCGAGATGCGAGGTCAATAGTCCATCGACTACGGCGTGCACGACCACGAGTACACTCCTCCCCCCCCTCGTCCTCACATTCTCCGTGCCCCCGATGAGGCAGTTGAGGAACTGCTGGACCGCTCTGCCCGGTGCGTGTCTGGCCCTCGCCGAGCACATGGCCATGTAGCGGTTAAACACGTGCGTGGCAGCCCTGGTGAAATGTAGAGTTCAACGATGGCGGTTTTATGGGAAAAAAAATGTATGGTGCTCCGCGATCATGATGTATCGTACCCCAAGAAAACACGTGCCGTTCGAGTTGAGGGCTCCTTCAATATATGTGGCCTGATACGCCGAAATCAAAGCATTAGACTAGACTAGCCATCGCTAAGTAGCCTAAGGCTTTGATTTCGTTTTCTAGAAGCCGACAACACCACAACACCGCATAAATCAGCAGCAACAGCAACAGCAACAGCAACAGCAACAGCAACAGCAACAGCAGCAGCAGCAGCAGCAGCAGCAGCACATTCATCGAAACCGGGAAGGAAGCATGGTATGCACACCTCTGTTACCTCTGATCTCTCTCCCTCTCCCTCCCTTGCGTGGTCTTACCTGGCCACCATTTCCGTCTCCAGCATCTCCAGCCAGAACAACGGCATCCTCCAACGGCGGAGCTTACCGTCAGCCCTCACGCTGTCAGTGTCAAGAGAAAGAGAACACCGCAAGTCACAGGTACTGTAGATTTGGTAACCGGAGCGTGAGATCAAGACTACAAGCGAGTGATATTAGAGCTTGCTTTGACGACATTGGTCACCATGCTGTTGGTTTTGCTTCGGCCCTCTGGAGGCACGTAGACGCCATCACACCTAGCAGCTGTTGGCCGGTGCCAGTGCTCCACTACTTCATACCATATACATATACATGTACATAGTACCAAGTACCCAACAGTTTGTTTTCTTACCCTGAAAATATTTATACGAGACAAGCAGCGTTCTTATTTCACTGAAGCAGTTTTCTTTTGTGGTGACGGCGGGAACACTTCCCTCCCTCTTCCATCAATCGGACGGGAATGAAACAATAGGTAGATCAGCTACGCATGCCATCCCATGCAACGAGAAATAGCACCCACGAAAATTACGACGGTAGCAGCAGCAGCAGCAGCAGCAGCAGCAGCAGCAGCAGCAGCAGCAGCAGCAGCAGCAGCAGCAGACGTAGACTCACGCAGCGTCCTCGGCCTCCTCCTCGATAGCCACCGTCGCCAGGCGTCCGAGGTACCGCATGTTAATCCCCGCTCCATGCAGCACCTTGGCGAGCTCCGCACAGTCCAGCGGGCAGAGGGACCCCCTCTTCACCTGCGTAGCCCCCCCACCCCCGTCAGCACAATATCGCATCATACAGGACGGCACATACGGTGAGGACTCGTATCAACGGCCCTATCGACAGGCGGCCAATCGCGTGAGTGCTAGGAGGTTCCGAGCGCAGACCGGAAAAGGTTTTCAACGTCAAACAAAACAACAATACGGAAGGCGCCGCAGGCGTAAGTGGCCGTACACTGTACCCCACAACCCAACCGCAAACCACGCCACCGGAAGGGATCAACGAGACGCCCATGAGCCAGCGTGGTACCCACTTGTACCCCGCACACCCCTTCCCCAACTTTCCATTCTGTTTCCCACCTCAGCCGTGACCAACGGCAGGGCCACGTCCCACAGGTGGCGAGCGGCACTTCTTGCCAGCTCCTCATCGGCAAGCAGTTGCTCCTCGCCAACGCAGCCCTGGAACAAAACACACAGGAAAGAGTGAGCGGGGGGGCGGGTACTCATGCCGTGCGTGCCCTAGTTGTTTAACCATTGACCACGGGTCCTCCAGAGGACGGAGCATTGAACCGACCACCGACGGCCAATCGGTCCTTCCTACTATTCATACCGAAGGTGGCTCAAAATTGTAGAGGGGAGAGGGGGGGTTCCATGTGAAGGTGGTTGCCCTCTACAAGCCGTGCCGCGTGCGCAACCATCGTGCTCACTTACCTTGCTCATTGTGCTCATGGACGCGGCGAAACATTAGCCAGAACTCACCTAGCGAGTTAAGCCACTGACTATTCCACGCCCATACATGTAGGGACACACAGTGCATTGAGTTCATGGACAAGGCGTAACGAGAAACTAACCTAAACCTAAGGCATGAAAACGACCAAAAATATGCGTTCACGTCCATGGGGAAGCTTAGACACCCTCATTAACCCCTGGGGAAACCTTGTAGGGCATGAACACGTTGACGTTCATGGCGAGCTCCTTGCAGCGCGCCTCCTGCTCCTCCTTCAGCTTCGTCAGATCCTCCTCCGACATCCTCAGCTCCTTCATAGCCTTCTCCTCCTCCCCCTCTTCCGCATCCTCCACCCCGGCTGGAGCAACCACGGAGCCCCCCTCCTCAACCGGAATCTCGGTCGTACTACTGCCGCCGCCGCCCACCTCAGCCTCCGCCAGCACCGATGGGGAGGGGATGGTCTCCTTCTCCGCTAGAGGCATTTTTTCGGGCGTGAGGGGGAGTGGGGACACCTCGCCAGCGTCCCCTGATTCATTCTTCGCTTCTGGCGCAGGGGTGTCGGCGTCGCCACCAAGCTTTTCCGAGTTGCGCGCCCGGAACCACTCCCCCACCTGCGTGGCGTGGGGATGTAGACAAGGCGTTTGAGTCAATGTTGTTGTTGCTGTTGCGGGATGGTAGACCGAGGTTTTATCGGGGTGAGTCAGTCGGTGCTGTTGCACTTGCGAGGCATAGTTACAGTTTGGAGGGCGATCTCAAGACCGCTGGCGTGGTCCTGCCCTTTCGACCCTTCCGCGAAAGTCTCATGACCAAGCAACCACGACATTGTTGCTGTTTTGAGTGTGTCCTGCTGAACGGGCACGAGAGAAAATTGTTGATCTGAGCGTGTCCCTGTTGGAACGGGGGTGTTCGTTCTTCCTAGGAATACATTGCCTTCCATGCAACGATCGGCCCCGACTTGCTCACTTTTCCGAATGTTCTTTCATCCGTTGTACCATGTCAGACCATCCGGGTGAGAGCTCAAACACGCCAACCCCCCCGCAAAAATAAGAAAGGCCCGGCACAAATGCTCTGCACCGCAAGGCAGTCATGAAAGGGCATCACCTACCTTGTGTCTCGTGAACATGGTGAGAAGCTCCGGCCGAAGCACAGCCATGCTCTCGAAGCTCAGGTCCGGGCCCTTGCCCTCACCAGCCTCTTCCCTCTCCCAGTCTCCCACGGTTAGCACCGGCTCGTCTACCTGAGCCTGCCGGGGTTGTCAGAAAGGATGCCAAAAGTGGGACGGTGAGGGTAGAATGGTGAACGAGTGGCAATCGGCAGAGGGTCCGGTCTTGAAGTTGAGTAGAAAACAAGTTTCTCGAGGCGGGCATGATGGCAAGAATGTGTGAGTGATAAAGAGTCCTAGTGAGATGGGATAGCCCAAGGGCCTTCACCGCGAGAGGTATTTGATGCCGTCCGCTTCAATTTCCTTCGGAGCTCGGATGGCACGATATCAGATTGTGATGCGCATTTTCAACGAACGTTTCACATCGAGCTTGGACGGCGTTGCCACGATATGGAGCCGCACATCGTTCTCTTCACCTGGTACACCCACGGCTGTACGAACAATCAGCAGTCCCTACTCCCTAACCGCTGGAAGAGCAATGATGAGACGGCGAGCTACATCACCGGTCCTCGCTATAATATTACAGCACTTACCGCCATCCACTCGTTGTAACCCCCGGTTCCCTTTGCCCCCCGCACCCAGTTAGCATCGCGGGGAGTAACTCGAGAAACATCCAAAAGGTACGACCTGCCAAGGAGGGGTCCGGAAAATCAGTCAAGTTGAGAGCACACGAAACAACACGTTACGAGGAATACTCTGTTTAGTTACCCCTTTCTGTCAAGAGCGCTTGGGCGATACATGTCCGACATATGGCACGCAGCACACCCTTCCACGCAAAACGCTACATACCACGGACAACAACAGCCCGGAAACAAGATGATGCAGCAATCTTCTCCATTCACATCCGGAGTGAGTCCGCCGAACCCTGTTCGGTGTACAGGACATCCCACCGACATATGTGGTCAACCGCTCAGAGCTGTAGGTTTACACAACGTGACGCCACCTGCAGATATTGCTTCCTCGCGCAGTTCTTGCCTCTGACTCGATCAGTGGGACATCCAACAGGGAACACGCAGGTGTAGCTTGGATGTTTGGGTCTGAAACTTCCTACATCTCGTCGAAACCGAACCCTCAAACTTCTTCCACTTCCAATTTCTCTTCAAGTGGCCTAACGCGTTCTGCAACCCAGGTATGTGTATCGTTTGCACCGACGCCGATGACGTCGACCACACCAACAAAAACTAAAAACAATAGAACTTTTGTACCACCCATGTACGGTAGATGTCCCTGTTTAGTGCCGGGGTGTGCGCAAAAATTTCACCGGCACTATTCCAAGTACAGAACGACTTGATGTTCCAGTGTGTGCGAGCCGAAAACACCGGCACTATACCGGCAACCGGCACTATTCAACCGGCACTAAACAGGGACCTCTACTGTACTATTTACCTGCCATCGCTGCCGACGATCCCCTTCATCTCTACAGCCCCTGTGATCTTCACCGTCGCCGGGGCTGACTCTGCTGTCTCATCACCACTACCTGGGGACGTTTTCTGCGCGCTCTCCTCCACACCGCCCTGGCCCAAATGAAACGGTCGGTCAACAAAGACAATCAATCGGACGACATCATCCGACTTAGATTTAAGATTCATAATTAAGTACTAATATGAAGTTTATCAGATCCCACAGAAAGAGGAAGAGAGAGGGAATTCGACTAATTACTTCCAAGTACTATGGCCAGGTCAAGGAATAACTGCTGTGAAGGACCACGTGAACAACGGAGAGGTCTGATGAACAGATCAGACAAAATACTCGAAAAGGGGTGCAGGGCACGTGTTCGTCAGGTGTCGTTTCCATAGTATTTACTGGTGTCGTGTGTTGGGCGTGGCTCGTTTCGGGCAACTCGCCGAATATCCAGGGAGGGCCCACGAATGCAACATGCCAAGGACCACAAACAAGCAAAACTCCCAAGCTAGCCCACGGCATTCCCATCGTGGAAACATTCTCCTCAAGACTGCGACACAAGCAAGTGACACCTGCTCCACCAACACCGCTTGCCAGCAGAGCAAGAAAGCAATTTTTCCAACTATACCCGTGCGACACGGAAACAACAAGTACCACCCACGGCACCAACCCCACACGCCAGCAAAAGCAAGCAAGCATGTTTCCATCCTACAACAGCAACTGCCATCCGCCAGTAGCAACCGCCAGCAGCAACCGCCAAGCGCGGCAATAACACTACGCGCCAGCAAAGCAAGCATGCCTCTCAGCCGACGACAAACACATGAAACTTATCAAACGTACCGCAGAGGTCGAAGACGAAGAAAAGGGCGGCTTCTTGATGGGTACCGCGTCGATCTCGCGCTCTGCGATCATGAGGCGCTGCCCCACGTCCTTGAGGAGAGAGGAGACCTTGTCATTCTCACGAAGAGGCTGACCGTGCTCCATCGCACCGTACACTACCTTGTTCGTCTGGTCTCCCTGTCATGTCAGTGGTGAACAGCATTGTAGCAGTGCGGGAAGCGCGGGAGCAAGTGGATTTTCATGCAAAATGTCCGTGGCGCACGCTAGTGATTCGTTCAATCCCACCAAACGGCGGTACTGTACTGTACGCAGTAGACCTCCTACGACTGTACCAGTGTGGGTGGTGAATGGCGCGAGTGCCGCGTGCGACCGATCGATTTGCGCCGAATGTCAGGGGCGCCAACCTTTGATTCATTTAACACCGTACCAAATTTAAGCGCGGCGGAACTCCACATGAAAAGCGTGTTGTGCGTGTGCGCGTCGACCGTTTTCAGTACACAGGCTAATGGGGCGAAGAAAACGACGATCATGCTTCCAGTGCTCCCGCTTTGAGGGGGCTTGACTGTAGTCTGTTAATGACCAATATCGGACATTCCTTATGGTACGCAAAACACTTTAAGGCATCAATGTACCAGCCACTGGCCGTTCCACTGCTCTTCATCAATATAGATTCAAGGCCGGGATATGGTAGGCGAGTGAATCGGCTTGGTGCACGTGTCCTATTTCACACTTACAGAGGGCCAATGACTGTTGTTCCAACAACAACAACAACAACAACAACAACAACAACAACAACAACAACAACAACAACGGCAACAAAGACACTCACGTTGAGGATGCCGGGCACGAGAGACTGCGCGATCAGCCGCCTTCCGCCAAAGTCTACGACAGCCGTGGCCAGGGTCTTGATGCTCAGCTGTGGGTGGACGGCCTCGCCGAGAAGATTGAGGGCCACCACGCTAGCAAGGTCCTGAAGATGGTGGCCACAGGAAACAAAGAGAGAGAGGGCGAGGACCACGTCGTGTTTCGGACTTGAGGCATACATGAAACCCTTTAGGGTCAATATCTGGCCGAAGTCGCAAAAGTAACAACAAAGGTAATACGAAGCGCCTACGACCGACTGAATACCTGAGACGCAGACATGCGTGTCTTGTCATGTCGAAGGGAATGTCGAAGAGACTGCCTGAAATAACAAACGGTGATATCTACGAAGCGCCTTCGATGAGCGATGGTTACTTCGGTGGGGAAAGGTTCCGTACGTACAGACTAAAACACAGGGTGTGACCCGTGCTGTTGGGGCTTCAAAGAGGCTTGACAAGTGGAGATACGACCAAACGCCTCGATGGTACACACACAGCTTCATCACAGGGGTCCCAGACGGTGGTCTACAGAACTATTTCGTGTGCTTAACTGCACCGACACTGACGTCTTTTCATTCGTCAGCCGGATAGCGTGGTCGATGCTTAATGAAAAAACAAACCTGCGAGGCAGACTTGCGAGCGGCCGAGTCTCCCGACACGGCCTTGTAGGCGTCCGGACTGTCCGCGGCGTAGCTGAAGAAGATGTTGTTGAAGACGAACACGTGGCTGTGCTCCGCCTCCGTGGGGTTTGCAGGGGGGATGAAGCCCTGTCGTCGACAAAGCAATCAACACTATTGTTCGGAGATTTGCACACAACCACAGATAAACTACCCGTACAATATATCAGCTGCAATACATAACCACAGTCCAAGGGATGGGTTCAAGGCTTTTCAGCGAACAGGGGAAATAAAGAGTCACGACAACCAACTTTTCTTTTACTCGGGCTACGGTTGTCAAACCTGTTCTAGCGTCAACAGCTTTCGACTATAGACCTTCATGCGAAAGCCAAGCACCGGAAGTGGCTTGGATCGTACTGAAGCAACCAGCACATCCGCCTCATGCGTGTTGTCGTTGTGTTACAAGCGCAACAGCAGCGTGCTACATTTCTACTTGTGCATGTACCGTATATGACACAAGATAAAATATTCCCTGGACCGATTTTCAAAGCTCGATTACTCCACGACGAAGAGGATGCATAAACGAAGCGATACATTTTCGAAAAGCTCTCGACGAGAAGGTTTCAACGCCGCCGTTTTCGGCGCTGTGGCTGTTCCTGCAGTTGATAAATCGAGCTTCGAGAATAGGTCAATGGGGTCTTGTGTCATGTACGGTACCCCCTGTGCACTGCTGTGCACACTTCTCACATCGCTGATGGCAACCGCCCCCGCCGTGGCAGCGTCCTGGAAATCGCACAGCAGCTTGTGCAGGGCCCTAGAGCGCGTCAGGCTCTGCATCACAACGGATTGCACCCAAAAAGACGAGGAAAACGAAAAACAGCGACAGCGTCAGGGTTGTAAGATTGGGCAAATACAAACCACTACAACGGGAAATGATGGATGACAAGTCGCAACAGGTACTTGTATACCGACCCATCGCTCGTCGGGGTCCTTGCACCACCCTGCACTAAACATGAACGCGTTTTGTGACGGTCTTCATTCACGAATGGCAACAACTAGCAAGACACCACCGACCTTTGGATGAAAGCAAGACGGTGGCTACTGAGAGACCCCCCACAAGCAACACAGGCGCACTGATGTGCACGGTATGGTCGGGTTGGTAGGCGACCCCTCGTGGATCGGGTCCCAGATCCCGAATGTTGGTGCTGCTGCAATCGTTGTCGTAAGGCACTGGGATCATGAAGAAACTTCCGGCGAAATGCTTGATCCGTCATGTACCACATGGACCAGTACCATTGCCAGCAACGAGAGACCAAGAAGCCGTCGTTGCCCCACATCATGCAAAGAATACACACCGCACGAGGTCTAGATGCAACAAACAAAAACAAAAACATCGCACTTATCGGACGCACAACCTCGCACACGCAGGTGTTTCGCCCCCTTTTTCTCACCAGCTCGGCGGTATCGCTGGGCAGCTCCAGCAGGCACTGATACTCGTCGTTCCACTCCCTAGGAACGCCTCTGTCCTCCATACCAAACCCGGAAGAAAGGTCGTCTTGGGCGCGGCCTGGGTCGGCCTTGTGTTCTCCCCACTTGGGATCTTCAAGGATAAAGCACAGGATTCACGAACAACACGCGTGAATGCGTTCGGTCAAGATTGGTTGTTGTGTGAGAACCGTTGGTTGTTGTGTGAGAACCGTTGGTTGTTGTGTGAGAACCGTTGGTTGTTGTGTGAGAACCGTTGGTTGTTGTGTGAGAACCGTTGGTTGTTGAGAAATATTTTGGGGAAGCAGTGCGGACAGTAGTTAAATGCTGGTGTTGGTGAAAACATCGGGAACGGACAGCAGCCATTCCAGCAGGGACAAGTACCAAGATGTGATGGCGGCGGCGAATGGGCGTCAGGTTCTTCATGGGCGGTGAATTTCAATCCTTCGCCGCCGAGTAAAGCGCTAAATTATCGGTTGGAATCCCAGACATGGGATCGCTTTTCTGGTTGAAAGCTATATGTATATATATCGGGGTCCCCCCGTCCCGCCAAGCACGTTATCATATGTCAAGTGCCTTCTCGTACCGTCATCTAACGGAAATTTTTCGGAATGCTTCACCGCTGTAGCTTGACGCACTGACGGAGAAACCATGCAATCACGCTTGAAGTCACACAAGTTCTGCGAGGATCGGAATATTCCAAAACCCAACAACGACACCGATAGGATTGGCATATTCTAAATCCTAGCATAGTAACAAAACATACAAGGTCGTTGAAAATAGCGCCAGGAGCAGGAGGAGGCGTTCTTCGTTGTTCTTCTCACCGGGGATAGGCATGTTCCACTGTGGCTTCACCATCACCGTGTCCCCTCTACCCTCCCGCATGGCCCTCGCCAGGGCGTGGACGGGGTCATCGGACTGGATGCGCTCCCACGCCTGAGCCACGGCATTGTTCCAGGCCTGCGCGGTAACGGTAGGGCAATCAATGGCAACGGTAATCGGGACATGTTGAGAATTCATGCAGGTAACCGCATGAGGAAACGGTTTAGGGGTGACGGTAACGGGAACACGGTACGCGGAACAGAAAACGGTTCGTTGAAAGTGAAGGGGTAAGGGCAACGGGACGCGGAACGCGGAACGCGAAAACGGTGGCGGTAACAACGCCGGATGAGAAACACGCCTTGTCCAGTGACGGCAACACCGGTGTAGCCCAACCGGCCGATCACATCATGGCACCCCCCTCTGCCCACACAGGACACACAAGACTGACGCCTATTGATTGGTCAGCCGGTCCCGTCAGCGCAATCAAAAGAAACACACACACATCAATATACATGTCATGGCCTTGAGAAGCTTCTTCCTGTTTTCAGTCGCATTGAGACTCAAGTCTTTTCATTGGTCAACCGGTTAGCGCGGTCGATATTAAAAGAAGCCACACGCACACTCTGACGTCTTTTCGTTGGCAAGCCGGGGATGCAAATTCAAACACATACATCCGCTCTTGCAAGATGAGATTTTTCATTGGTCAGCCTAGCGCGGTCGGTGCTAATCACGAAAACAACCACCCACAGCTGTGGGAACTAGTTCAGGAAGAAGTGCTCTGGGCCAGAGCAAATTATGATACATACCTTGGCGAAGCTGGAGTTTCTGGCGAGGAGGCACACGGCGAGCTCGTGGGAATGGCAAGGGTTCCCGGAGATGGGTCTTGGATCGAAGTTTCCCCGGCTGGTACCGTTCACGTAGAAGCCCCCCTGCGTGCAGGTGATGTTGATCACAGTCCCGTCTAACGCCACCACCTGTTTTCGTGTTGGCGAGGAGAGGTGGGGTTTTCAGGTTGCTTTTGGTACTGCTAATGTTGCTGAGAATGATGATGATAATGATGATAATGATGACGATTTTTTCGCTCGTTGTAGTCGTTGCCGCTTGTCGCTTGTCACCGTGGTTTACGTTGCTGTTTCTGATTTACTCGGCCGCTCGTACTTCCAAAAGATCCTCTTTCACGTACGCATTCTCACTTCTCACGAAACCTCTCTTCTCTCTTTTTCTCACCTCCAGGTACATGAGGTCGCCCACCAGCCTCCGCTGGGGAGGGGGCGGGTTCCACGCAGACACCGAAACCCCCTTGAGGCACGTGATTGGCCCGTCCCTGTCCTTACCCCCCTTGTCCTTGCCGCCCCCCTCCTCCGGCGATGGAGACGCTACTTCCTCGACGGCGAGTCCGAGACCGACACCGTAAAACGCTCCAAGCCCCTGGGTTTTCCACCAAGGCGTGTTTGGGTATCACCACATGGGGGAAGGGAGGTCAGAGATGTTGTTTGAGTGCTCTTTCATCCATGACGAGAGGGCCTGATGGCCGGTAGCCATCTCAGACGAAATTCGGCACCGTAGCAACATAGTCCTTGACATGACGGACATGCTACCGTCCATGGCCAGGGGGAGGCATCGTCCTCACCACATGTACATGCTTCCAACCAACGGAGACACGATGAGACCACATATCAGGATCAACCACCACGACCACAATGGCAACAACAGCGACAACCACCGCCACCGCCTCCACAGCACCAGCAATAATAACATCAACGACAGCACCAGGAACGACCGTCACCACCACAAGAACACCATCAACAACAACAACAACAACAACAACAACAGCAACAGCAACACCCACCGCCGCAGCTACAACAGCATAACAACGACGATCACAACAACACTCACGGCAACAACAACGAAACCAGAAACAATCGTACCACCACAACAACTACAAACACAGCAGACACAGCAAACACAGCAAACACAGCAAACACAGCAAACACAGCAGACACAGCAAACACAGCAAACACAGCAGCATCGTAGCCTTACACACCTCTGCACCGACCACCGGCACCCGACTGTCCTTCAGCCTCCCGCGGATGTCCAGCGCCCTCTGGATACGCTGCGCGGCGGCTTCGGCTGCCGGATCAACCTCTCCCACCGCTGCCGCGGCACCTCCCTCCCTTCCCTCGGCTTTGGCGACGACAGCTTTAGCAGCGGTCGCACCAGAGTTGGCCGAACTTTCTTTGGCTACTAAAAAAAAAAACACGGGGGTCAACTGATTAACAACACTTGACTGAGACGAAATCACAGGGTTACTAGCGTTTGTGAACTGTAGAAACAAACAACTCACGACTTCTCACATTGAATCGCGGTGAAGAACAGAAACAAAAAACCCCAGACGCGCTTGCAGACTGGACAGTACTCGGGAGATAGATTGTGGTGTGTTCTTGCAGAGATGAAGTGCCCCTGTCAGAGGAGAAACGCCTTGCACTGCGCGCGAAGGCCATGGCTTTTGATGCTGAAAGCCTCTTGGAGACAGGGTGGTGACGAAATGAACAACTTTCCGGGAAATTTCCTCCATGTCAATCGGGCTTCAGGGCTGATGGGAAGCATGAGGCTCGCCAAAACACACAACCTCTCGCGCAAGCAGCATGACTAGACGCAAACAGAAGTAAGACCTGCTTGATACACGTTCACAAAGCGCCGACCAGGTTCTCACAAATCTAAACACGCACGAACGTACGCATAGCAACATGTGTGCACACACCTACACCCACTTCCGCAAGTACAGCAAAACAACACCCGCACACGCATCTAGCAGACGTAGCTCACGCACCTTTCTTGTTTTTCCCGCCTCCCCCCGACTTCCCCTTGCCCTTCTTGCCACCGCCGCCGGCGCCCTTTTTCACCCCGGGCCCCACGCCATCCTGGCACGGTGGTGGGAACTTGAGAAGCTCCCTGCTTCAGCAAACAACAACAACAAACGGGCAAAGTACTAGCGTTCTTCACCTTGCTGTGGTTGTGTATGATGAGTGTTGTTGCAGCTGCCATTCTTGTGCGCCGACACAAAGCAGTTCTCGATTTGCACCAATGCGTACACATATGCCGACGTTAATCAGCTCTGGCAGCGGTGGCCAAAGGAGATGCGCTACTCCTACAACTACCGGTCCGGAACGAAGGATCAAATACACCTACATACAACCCTTGGTTGTCTAGCCAACACACGCTTATCCTTGTGCCACGGGAAAAGTTGCAACAGTGGGTGCCTGACGCACCTGAACTTCTGCAAGTGCTGCCTTGCGGTGCTGACCGTGTAGGGTTCGAGCTCCATACGGACCTGAAGACCAACGGGGGGGAAGAAGACGCGGCGGGATTCTCGCACAGATCAACCGAACACAAACACACAACATTCTGGGCTGCCGTGCTTTTCAAAGCAAAGTTCGGATGCTTCGACGTCACGAGGTTGCACGAGCCCCTACTGCTGCAGCGCTGTTTTGATGTTTTCCGTTTCGCCTTTGCCTTCCTTCAGATCGAACCCCTCCGCACGTCGAACCCCATCGAGATGGGTACATAAGACTCAGGGTCGTGCAGCGAATAAGACACATCCCCTCCCCGCGACCAAAAAACAACGCGCAATATAAACACCCAACTTTCCGACATGAGCCAATGTATCAATCGCATCGTCACCCGCGGTATAACAGAAAAGCTGACAACCAACCACGTGACGAGACAACATAAGAAGTAGAATGTTTCGAAGTAAAAGATACAACCCAAACCCGAGCGAAATGAGACACATCCCTTGTCACGGCGATCGCAACTATCCGACATGATAAAACGCACCGATCGCATCATCACCCCCGATGTGCCAGAAGCGCAAACAACCAATCACATCACGAGGCAGTGAAAAAAAGCGGCGCAACAAATACCTCCACTTTCTCAGGGCGGGCAGCGACGGCCGGGATCGACCTCAGTTCCACGAAATCGTTCATCACATCTCCCTCCCGCTTCCAGACCGCGTCCCCCCCCCCGCCGCTGCTGGCCCCTTCCTCGGTCCCTTCGGGCTCGGGCGTCAACGCCACCAGACGGAAGGCGGAGTAGAGGCATGTCTGTGGGATCTCCCCCAGTAGCTGTCGCACCTGTAGATGGCGGCGGTGGCGCACGAGAGTTCAACCGAAGACAGACTGCAGGAATGGAATCGACACTTCGCATTGTTTATGTGCTTTACTCCGTGGGTTGGTCTACTGTACCATTGGGGACCCACATCGAGAAACAACAACATGCGGACATGTGTAGGCACTCATGACCTGCTATTACCCCCTCCCCCCCACGGGGTTTGCCATCGGGGTTGGGTTTTCGTCGCTTGGCAACGACGTTGTAAAACAAGCCGCCCCCCCCCGGTGTTTGCCATCGGGGTTGAGTTTTCGTCGCTTGGCAACGACGTTGTAAGACAAGCCGCCCCCCCCGGTGTTTGCCATCGGGATTGGGTTTTCGTCGCTTGGCGACGACGTTGTAAAACAAGCCAATTCACTTCGTGAACTCGGCAACCAGGTTACCGCTTTTTTTTTCACCTCCGTTTTTGTTTTTTTGCCGGTAACCATAATGGTGGTCGAGTAGATCATGTTGTGCGGGGTCGAGAACCCTCACTCCGCGCAAGGGGGATGATCGCACCACGTTGTGTTGAAATGGTCAAGCAC